TCCTCTTCTTCTTCTTCTTCTTCTTCTTCTTCTTCTTCTTCTTCTTCCTTCTCCTCCTCCTCCTTCTCCTCCTCCCATTTTAAAATGACAACCACCAACAACTTCGGGGAGCAAACTATGTAAACACAAACACCTTGATGGTTGAAAACGCGAATAAAAACACATCACTTTCTTTTAAGAGCTTACAAAAATAAATTATGTAATGCACAAAGCACAGCAAAAGTTTACTTTACTGAACAAAAGCAAGGCCTTCTTTTGTACGCCTAGACCTGCCTTTGACTGAGTAAGTTAGTGGTAGGGTTCTCCCTGCTATCTAACAGCAAAGGCTACTTATGGAAGTGTTGCCCGATGGTGCCCGGAATGGTGAGAAACCTTGGAATCTTGAGTCCTGTGTAAGAATAAAGTTTTCTCCCTCTGCATTAGTGAACCTGACAGGAAATAATTTCAGGACAGACAAAAGGAAATCATTCTTCACTTCAGGAATGATCGGCTTGTGGAATTCACGGCCACAAGGTGTAGCGATAGCTCCTAGCTTCAGCGGCTTTAAAATTCATGGCTATATCAGCAATGTTGGCAACATAGAACCTCCAGGAAAGGCACCGGGAAGTGAGATCCCTTTGTTGTGTGACGTTCTAGGAATTTTCTTGATTTCTGTGGTTCTACCGTAAAAATTCAGGGAAACCCTAGAGAGCCGTGTGACACCATTTCTGGTTGCACGGCTGTTCAGACGGGTCTATACCCCTTTAGTTCCCTACCACTTTTCATTGCAGACATGGCAACCCTATTCTATAATGAGAGGTGCTGTAACTCTGAACGCCAGTTACAATCAATGCTCCCTCTAAGCTGTGGTGTCTTGTGAGCAAAACTTCTACTTTGTGAGCTACGGGCATTAAAGCTGTGAGCAAACCATTTGGCTACTGCATAAATTAGTTTGCTCTGGAGCCATCCTTCCTGAGCTAAGAAGAGAAGAAGAAGAGATTGGATTTATACCCCGCCCTTCATTCGGAGTCTCAGAGCAGTTTACAAACTCCTTCCCCTTCCCCTCCCCACAACAGACACCCTGTGAGGTAGGTGGGGCTGAGGGAAAAGCCAACGCAGAATCACACTCAGAGTGGTTTACAAACCTCTTCCCTTCCCCTTCCCACAACAGACACCCTGTGAGGTAGGTGGGGCTGAGAGAGCTCTCTCGAGGACTGCCCTTGAGAG